CAAAGGCTACTCAACGCTCCTTCGCTAGTCTCAACATCGGCTCGACCCGTCCATACCCGACAGCTGTCCTGACTGCGGCGGTTTTCCGCATGGCTGTCAGCATCTATTTGAATGCAATTCCCGGCCAAGCACCCAATTCACCCCCGCGGAGCTTTGGCTCAAGCCGGTCAAGGTCTCGGCTTTTCTCCGTCTTCTAACTACAACCAGTTCGAACTCCGGCAGGGACTCTTGATTCAACAATGGGCTACGACATACACACGTGCGCTCGACTGGTGTATGGAAGAGTAGAGTGAGTCCGACACTTGGGACTCAGCGGTACGTCAGCGCAGTCTGCACTACAATAAAACTAACGCGGTGTAATCTATCAGGACATGTGAAATGTCGTTGCTGTGAAGATCGTCAAATAAAGTGGTAGCCCAGTCCCTCGAAGACTCAGGGTACAATTTCACCTTCGTGGTGCGACTTTTATGGCGTTGTCATTCGTATGAGACCCGAGACGTCATCACTAAAGCCTGGCACACATTGCAATGGGCCAGCATGCGTCAACCGATGCGGCCGCGCTTACCTCCTGCCTTCGTTTTCGTCTTCTTGTCCTCAACTCCTAAACTTTTCTGCGGCTAAGAGTGTATGCGTCCTTCACCACCTGTCCGCAACCACCTTCGGTGCCAAACTCGATGAAACTCCTTTGCGTTTGACACGCTCTGCAATCTTTCCACCTTCGAGCCCAGACAACAAAGAAACTCTTCATTGACGGATTCGTCCGGCTCAACATTTACTGGGATGCACTATGTCGCACACACCCTTTCCGCTCACACCAACGTGCCAAGTCACCGGCACACACTGAGGCGATCACTCCAACATACCCTCTAACTGGTGCCTCAAACTGCACCTCTACACAAGTCACAGCATCAGTCTTACCCCAGTTTCGAGCAACATTTGTCGCCGTCGACAAGCTCTCAAATCAGCATGTGCACTGGATGCGTTCTTCACCGCCTGTCCGCCAGTCCACGCACGAGCCAGTTATTTTCAATAGGGACCCAACAAATTGGACTATGCTCTGGTTTAATACGTATTTTAAATATATAAGAACGCGGTAAGTTTTAAGATGTGGTTGGCATGGGGAAAGCGACCTCTACTGATCCAAATAAATCGAAATGTATTTAATGTGAAAAGGATAAAACGCGCTATGTAAAGGTACAGATATCACTCTGCTGCTACGGTATTTTTGCAAACAAAGCTAACAATCTATTCTTTATCGAGGCCGGCTTCCTTTAGTAGCTGCTGCATTGATTGTTCAGACTGGTATCGGCACCACATATCATGGTCCGCCTTCCTCTTAGCTATGATGGCATGATTTTTCTTTTGGATTTTCACCTCCCGCACCTGCAGATACTTCAGGCGAAGAGCTCCATATAGGATTCCAGCAAACAAAAGACCCCAGCGAGCTGTCCTGATGAACGGCGAAACTGCCTTGGGGGCGGGAAGATGAATGCTGTGAACAGATTCTGAAGCCATCTAGAAAGGAAAAA